AAAACCTGCAATATAATGTAATGAACTATAAAAACTCACTTACGTTGCTTGACTGGTTCATTGAATCTATTCCTGGCTTCATCTATACACTGTACCATTAACCAGTCACTCTTCACCCGTTAGGGAGCGTGGATCAGAGCCCACCAACGCCCCTACCTCCGGAGCACCCGGTCACGCCCAGCAGCAGCTCCATATATCTATCTCTCATTCCTCTCTGGAGCTGACAGAGCAACCTACAGGTTGGTCCATAAAGGTTTTACAAGCACAAGCAGCAACAGTTCCTACATCAAAACAAATTAATTTACGTGGATTACATTGTTCTGTTTCTGTTTTTATTTACTGCAGTTTTCTGCTATATACATATTGATCAATTGATTGTTTCCAGGACCAGGGGCGGAGCTTGTTCCATTTGACAGTGATGACACCGATGACGAGGATTCACCCAGCCCTTCCTCCACTCTACAGAGTCAGGCCAGTCACTCCACCATATCATCCAGCTATGGCAGTGAGTAAAAACACCCATATACACTCCAGTCACACACACGTGTACATACTTCATATACTTATACTCTCTCTAATTTCTCCCTCTCAGACGACGAGGGTCCAGGCTCCAAGGACATGGCTACAGAGACCACCAGCAGCGAGGAGGAGCAGGAGTTCCCAGTGGCAAGCTCCTATGGACCTCCAGGAATGTTGGGGGTTGGTGGCGGAGGAGGACGCGCCCACACAGAGAGCCCCATGGACGGCCGCGCCATGCGGCGCTCCTCCAGGGGCTCGTTCACCAGGGCGAGCCTGGAGGACCTACTCAGCATCGACCCGGAGGCCTACCAGAGCTCAGTGTGGCTGGGCACTGAGGATGGATGGTGTGTGTGATGCACAGACACACACACAGGCAAACACAACTGTTATTTATTTTCTGTTTTCACGCAGAAATAGCTTCCTAACTCGTTGGTGTGCTGTTTTCTAATCTCCTATAATGCTTCTGTTTCTGTCAGCATCCACGTGTACCAATCCTCGGACAACATCCGTAACCGTAAAAACAGCATGAAGATGCAACACTCAGCTTCCATCCTCTGTATACTGTGAGTTGCTTTCTTGGCCACAACTTTGCCTTTAAAAACAAAAATAATACTGGAATTCACGCTGTGTAGGAAAAAGCGATGAAGAGCCATTTGATGCGGCCTGGTTCAAATGTGTTCTGTATGCTTTATCCTTGTATGCTTTACTTATTTGTTACTATACTTATTCCTACAGGTATTTGGACAACAAAGTGTTTGTGTCCTTGGCCAATGGAGAGGTGATTGTCTATCAGAGAGAAGCCGGTAAGATGGGAGTGTGGAGTGGCGTTTCAGTCAATTTCAGTGGTAACTGAAGCATTAAGTGTTTTTTTTTATCTGTAAGATGTTGTTCAAATTGCTTCTACCGTACAGCCCTGCTAGTCTGCACAGGAGTAAAGGGCTCTAAATACTTAAAGACACTAACATTACTTTTCAAAAATAATCTTGCCTGCTTTGTAAAAAATATGTAAATTGCTGTTTCCTTTGTATTTTCCCTGTGTAATGCCCCTTTATTCTCAATCTGCAGGTAGTTTCTGGGACCCTCAGTCTTCCCAGACGTTAGTTCTGGGCACGCCCAGTAGCCCCGTCACCAAAATGGTACCTGTGGGAGGAAAGCTATGGTGTGGCTCACAGAACAGAGTCCTTATTATCAACACAACTACACTGGTACAAGAGGTAGGTGGAAGGATGGATGGATGGATGGACGTACAGGTACAGGTGAATAAGATACAAGGCAGACAGACCAATCGCTGTGTGTGTAACACTTCTTCCCTTTGTCTCAGCACTGGTTCCAGGTGGGCACAGACAGCAGTCGGTGCGTGACTTGCATGGTGGCGTACGGTCAGGGTGTGTGGTTGGCGTTGCAGGGCAGTGCCCAGGTCAGACTATACCACGCTCAGAGCCGGGAGAGCCTGACAGAGGTGGACGTGGCGCCTGCTGTGCATAAGATGCTTGCAGGTAAACACACCTGGACGTTATTCTGGAAAGCAGCTCACATCCTTTATTCTTCTTTTTTTAGTTCCCATTTTAAATAACTCAGTGCCTTTCCCCCGACCTTTTTATTTTACCAACATCATCTACCACTTGACTCATTCTTTCTCTCCCCTTTAAATCATCATCCTCACCACTGTTCCTCCCCTGACCTCCATCCCGTCCTCTCTTTTCTTTCTGTCCACTCAGGTGCAGATGCGATCATCAGACAGCACAAGGCCGCCTGTCTGAGAATCACTGCATTGTTGGCCTGTAAAGATCTGCTGTGGATCGGCACCAGTGCAGGTAAAAACCAACATACGTTAACCTGAAAGTTAAACCGAATTTCCATTTTGTTTCACTTCATTATTAAATCGGATGTGGGCAGTGATTCAAAGGTCTGGGCACAAGATAAAAGTAGATTTACATGCAAACAGCATTACAAAACTCACATACATAATATATATACATACATATATTTTGTGTTCTTTGCTCAGACAAGTGTTTTTTACTTTAAATTTGGAATTATTTTGAATTAAAAATGGGTGAAAATTATTTTGAAAAAAATATTACTAATGTAGTTAGAGGGACTGTGGTGCATAATCTCAATTTATTTGGGTTTCCTCCCAAAAGGTTCTAAAAAATCACTGTCTGAACATCAGCTTTGTTTAACTGTGAAAATCTGATTTATTTTATCACAGTTGATTAAAAAACTAAAAATACAAGGCTTTTATATACTGTCTGTCTTGTTAGTAGCACATGTGTACTTTGCCTACAATGTCAGTTTATGGCAGTTGAGAGGATTTTCTTTTAATGGTCGCATTTTAGATTTTTACATTGATTCTTAGTAACTGGATTAGACATTTTAAGCTACTGTTCTTCTGCAGGGGTGGTCCTTACGCTGGCAATCCCAGCGGTGAGCTCAGGAACTGGCGCAGGGACGGTGAAATCTCCACTGGCACCTATGGGCTCGGCTCATGGACACACGGGCCACGTTCGGTTCCTGACATCAATTGAACTACCGGAAGGGTTTGACATGAACTTCCCTCCTACAACTGATTCCACAGGTACATTTTAAGTATATGTGCAACCTAATTAAGTGAATCAAAGTTGTGCCTTTTCTCTACCTTCAATCCGTCCTTTCTGTTTTATAGGCAACCAATCCCAGAGTGGCAGTACAGTTGACGGGAACCTCCAAAGGCGCGACTCAGCACGTCGCCGAGCCTCTGCCCACATCCCTATAAAAACCAACCATCTAGTAATTTCCGGCGGCGATGGCTACGAGGACTTCAGACTGACCAATAGCAGTGAAACAGTTGGACGGGACGACAGTACCAACCATCTTTTGCTTTGGAGGGTCTGAGACAATCAACCTCGGTTTGAACTTCCTGCCCCAGCCTCCCACAAGCTGAGAAACGGCGCACAAGCTCTTGTCCTTTTCCCCCACCAGACTCCTCACTTTTTGGTGTTGTTGTTTTGGTCTTCTGCTCAGTCCACCAGTCTCTATGTGCATAATATGGCTGTCACCTCCCTCCCGGACTTACTAATGAATATGATCACTTCAAACCCAGTTTTCTTGTGTTAATGTTACTGATGGTGTGCGTTGTTCCCACTGGGTGGTGTCTGTGCGTGTGTATTGTCTAGAAAAAGTGTCTTTAAACTCAAGTCTTTACTGAAGGAGTCGGAGAAGGGAAAAAACTTTCACACATGGATGTTTAGACTACAACAAGTGAAGAAAAGAAAGACAGAAGAGGACTTGGACTCTGTAGAATGTCTTTGCACAGGAGGTTGAAAGAGGACATTTAGGTGAACTGAGACATAAGTGGAGCATGTAGTTGTCCTTTGAAATTTTCTGTTTTCTTGGACTTGGACATCAACCCTTTACTCCATCATCACTTCATCTTAGCCTGAACTGCAGACAGAATGCCTCCTGATGATCAGAGGTAAATGTCATGTAAAAATATATGAATATCTATGGTTGGAAACTAAGTAAAACATACCATCACAGGCTCTAGTTTAATGGATACTCTGAATTTGCTTTGATTTCTGCAGATAGCTTAGCAGAGAGGTTCAGCTGATGTCCGTAGACTGAGACTGCTAAAATCATTTTTTCTCTTGTGTAGAGAGAAAGAGAGAGAGAGAGAGAGGAGAGAGAGAGAGTGTGTGTGAATAAGAGCATCATTTAAGTGCAATATGTGGCAAGGGTATCTAACAAGACTATAAACACATGCACACAGTCACACACATTAATGCACAGCCTTCACTCACTGAATCGGAAGAGATTTGTGAAAAACATAACCGTGTGTTTTCCACAGATAATCACATTATATCTGATTTTCTTATTTAATTTTTTATGCCAGTTTAAGATGACATGAGCGTAGATGATGCCCACTGATGGAGTTGAGTAGAAAAAAAGTGCATTGGAGACATTCCTCCTTAACATGACTATGCCAAAGCCTTGTATGTATTAGAATTTTTAACATTAAGGGATCTGAATAGATTTCTTTTGCCATGAAACTTCTCTTTGTTGAGCGGAAATCAGGAGCTGATGTTTTTTCTATTGATTTCTGTAGCAGACTCTTTGAAGATGACGCTAGGCTGTGGTTGCAGATAACAAAAGTTATGTACAGTATTTATGGTTTTGATTTTTAGCGCCTTCTTTTACAGCACTTAATTTATAGAATATGTAGCTTTCACTTTTTTCTTTTTGAGTTGAAGAACAAGGAGGACCTGGCTTGATTACCAGAATAGAAAAATGGGCATAATTGGGTTAGGGGTGTAACGGTACAGTCGACTCATGGTTCGGCACGATACACACTACAGGGTTCTTGTTTTGGAGTTGTATGGCTCCATAAATGTCTCTATAAGGCCCTGGAAATATATTTTGTCTCTAATCATCTAATGGCTGTTTCAAACCGATCCATCAATCCCAAAATTCACGTCACTCTGTATCTAAACTCAGTCCCTCTGTCACCTGTTTGGGTGCCAAATGCTCAGATTTGCTTAATTTTTCAATAATTTTTCAGCTCTGCGGTTCATATTATGGCAATTTTGTTCCAGGAAATATAGCGCTAAGATGTATTGTTACACCCCGAGTGCATAAACACAGATTTCAGTATTGATAGTTGGAGAACAAGATGCATGTGGTTTGTGAGACGAGTGCTTAAGATATGGAGTAGGTCAGAAGGACAAACGCTGAGCGCCTGCACGTGCCTTCTGAAGGCTAAAAGTTAAGCCATTAAACACCCACATACACACAGTGAAATGTCAGCTCTCCCTCATCCTGCAGCAGATGTCTGGGGAAGTGAAGGGTGACTCCGACTTGTCCTTCTACACACACGTTAGCCTCAGGCTTTGGGGTTAAGCAGTGATTGTCTTTTATCCCTCCAAGCCTAGAAAACCTCATTGCACTTTGCCAGCCATCTGGGCACTTCACCTCAGATTTCCCACTTCCCAAATGCATCCACATTAGGTTAACTCTCCCGCTGTGAGAGCCGCTAATAGTTAAGAGGATTGGTTGGTTGTTTTGATAGCTGCTAACTAGCTAGTAGGCTCAAGTGTATAAAGTATGAAAGTATGAAAAGGAGCTTGTTTGTGATTTTCTGCCCAGTTTAGCTTATGAAGAACACAGGTCAGAGGTCAGTTTGATGGTTTTAGCAAACATTACAGGACTAAGTGACATTTTTGGAAATATTAAACTCAGTTTCTTGTCAAGGGTTCGGTGCCGCTCTCATGTCAGTATGTTTAATATTATTAAACTACAACCAGTTAGCTTAGCTTAGCATAAAGAATGGAAACAGGGGCGAAGAGCGAGCCTTGCTCTGTCCAAAGACCAAAACTGAAACTGTCTAGATGCTCTAAAGCTCACAAATTAACATATTATATTTTGTGTCTTTGTTTCAAATAAGATATAATGTGTTGAGCTAAGTTACCTTTCTAGCTGTTTCCACTGTTTTCAAGTCCTAATGCTAAACTAGGCTAACCCACGACTGGCTGTAGCTTCATATCTAATGAATAGGCATGAGAGTGGTTATAATCTTCTCTTTTAACTCTAAAAGAATATTTCACAAAATGTTCAGTTACTCCTTTAATGTCCTCTAACGTTAAGGTAGCAGATGGGTTTTTTTTATGTTCTGTGTGATTCACAACAAAATTAATATTTGTGTTCTCAGTGCCAAGAGCTGCCAAGTTACCGGTACCCAAGTAAATGCTGTATATCTATGCTGGCTGTAGAGTAACGGAGAGCTCCCTGCAGAGCAGAGTTAGTATATTTTCTGTGAACCGTAAGAAAAGAGCTACAAACACTCTCCAAAAGAGCTGGTATCAGCGTGTCTAAAAAGGGTTACAGTCCTTCAATGATGGGTCCTAAGTTCACTGAGTTTTGGGCTTTAAATAGTTCTACACTTTAGTTTGATGGCTCTGTTCATGCTTTTGTGAAACCGATACCAAGAAATTCAGTAACTTTAAATGGAGCTAATTAAGAAAGTTTGTAGATTTTCTTTTAAAAATCTGAAAAGAAACATTTGCCTTAAGAATATACAGTACTGAAATCCTGAAGTTGCATTTTAGGTTTGAACCCAGTAACTCTCTTCATTTTACAGACATACAAGCATGCACACACACGCTAACACATCCTAGAAATGAAGTAAAACTAAAGGTTTTTGAGAGAATAAAGCATGATGCCAGCTAAAGAAATGGAAGATTTAAACGTAACGTTTTTCACCGTCACATCAAATTCATTCAATCATTACTGTAACTCTCAGAAACTTGTAAGTATAACCTCCTCATGCCCGTAAGTGAAAGAAGTCTTTATTGTTGTAAATATTGGTATATATTGCCTTTTTTCTGTAAATAGTGCACCCACGGTCATCAATTGTTGATATGAATCTAATTGCATATTTTTATATATTTGTGTAAGGTTTGTTTTTTGTTTGTTTTTTTCTCCCTTCCTCCCTGGCATGCGTGGTCAGTGACGTTTAAATTATAACTGCCATAGATCTTTCGAGAAGAAGACAAGATGGCCTCTGTTGTTACCAGAGCGACTGAAAGATGAGAATTTTGATGTTTTCACTGGTAGTCGTGTTAGCTCCACAACGTATGTTTTGCCTCGTTAGGGACGTCGACGGGAAGGTAACGCAATGTGGCAGGTCTTGCGCTGCCGCCTGGTCATAACTCTGTTTATCTCTGGCTCTGGTTGACATCTCGCTGTTGTCATGGTTACAGTCTATCAGTTACTTCCTGTATGTAGCTGTTCTTGTTTTTGTCACTGTGGGTTCCTCTTTGTAATTAAATCAGTTCACTGGTGCCTGTTTGTGCCTCTTCTTTCTTCAGCGAATGTAAAGTTTATGATGTATATTTGCGTCCCCTTTTTTTTAAATTTGTCACAGGAAATCTGTTTGTACATGAACTACAGACAGCATTTAACACAAACTATGTACAAATCACCCAAAAAAAAGAAAACAACAAACAAACATAAAAATGGGGGTGCATTAGATAATGTGTGTAAGTAACACATTAGTGTATCTGTGTGAGAAAGTGACCCATGAGCATATCCCAGCCTTCTACAATGGATGTTTTATGAATTACAGCTAATGACGTTTGTATGAGAGCAATATAAAGTAATTATTTTATTGATGGGGGGTCAGGGGAGAACCATAAGTGTGTAAGGCGACTTAAAACTTCTAAACTTCTTAAATGGTTGCATGTTGACAACTTTTGGGTTTTGGACTTGGTCGGACAAAACAAGCAAACTGAAGGTAATTTTCACTATTTTCTAACAGCCGATTAATCAATAATGGAAATAACTGTTTGTTGCAGCCTACACTTTTGCCAACGCTTAACTAAACTGGTGTCACTGCTGGTAGCAAGAACTGCCAAGTGAACAAGTAGTGGCAAGTGAGACACACCTTCCTGTACTCACATAATGAGTCACATAACCTTGAGTTGCAGATCCATCTAATGTATAGACCTTTTTCTTCATTCAAATGTTTACTTCCAAGTGTCCAAGGATTTTTTACTGTCTTTTACAGTAACAATAAATAAATAGATAGATAGTAAATAAATAGCAACAAAATTGACTCGTGTCTTACAGTATGAGGCCCTCCTGACGTCCTGCAGACAGCGTCACTGACCACAACACAAAGTGACCACTGTGGTTTCTTACCAGCATGCTTCAGTGTCCACTCCACTATTCATCTGACTTTAACCCACTGACCTACAATGAAGTGTATTGTGATATGATAGCCCTGCAGTATATAGAGGAAAACAGTATGAATGCAGACCATTCAGCACACACAAATACAAACATTGCCCCTTCCCCCCCCATGATCACACACACACAAGCCGTAGCCCGCTTACATCCACACACAGTATTCAAATGAAGCCTTAAACAGTGAAGATCTGTGCAATGAATGAAAGAGGGAGTAAAGAGAGCAGCACAGAGATGCATCTATGACTGACAAGAATGAGTGATATTGTGAGTCATTGACTAACACTGACTCACTGACTCATCCCAGCGGAAGAACGTGGGCCAGTGGAAATCTCCTTCATTCACTGATATCAGATTTGCAATATTAAGCGTGTGTATTGGGCAAAACTGTAATTTCCTTTTTTCTCTGGCATTGTAGCATAAGCGTCAAACACGTAATCAGTGGCTCAACCTCTTGAGGCTGCTTTGACGGTCCCAGATTATAAGATTTTCCTCAAAATAGTGTATATGTGCAGTGAAAGTTGAGCTAATTTTACCTGAATTAGTGGTCCAGTGAGCAGGATTTAGTGGCATCTAGCGGCGCAACTTTCTTGCTTCACCCTTACCTTCCAAGCGTGAAAGAGAAACTACAGTGGCCAAGAAACACATGGTTGGTTTGTCCCTTCTGGGCTACTGCAGAATAAAGGCGGTTCAACAATGGCGGACTCCATGAAATGCGACCCGTGGCTTCTGTAGATAAAAATGTCTCATTCTAAGGCAACAAACACACAACAATTCTTATATTCAAGTGATTATACACTAATGAAAACACACCTATGAATAATATGTTCAATAGATCCTCCTTAATGTTACACACTGGACCTGTAAAGAAGCTGGTTTTTCAACCTTTAATGTATGACTCTACTCTCTGTCAGCAACACTCAACTTCATTTAAAGGTGGGGCAAGTAATTCTGGGTAATGTATTTCTAATCTGCTATCTCCTCACAGTCTGTTAGCTTTCTGCTGTGTGTGTGCTCTGAAAAAGAATCCGGTGGCTGGTTCTGTAAATGGGAAACCAATAAGGTGAATCAGACCGAGCCACACAACACCATCTCGTGTGATGTTAGCTATAGTAGCAGGATGGATGTGAGCTGTCTGCGGCTGGCGTGCTGGTTCTGGGAAACTGTCTTGTCCGCTCTGCATGTTAGCTGCAACTTTAGCCACAGTTTGCAAACCCTACAACATTACTTTCTGTGTCGTTGTTCTCAATCTTCTCCCTCCAGAAGTGGTTAACCACCTTCAACTATTTTATTACCTTTAATTGAACTACATTCATTTAAAGAACATCACAGACAACATTTCAAAACAATATCATTGAAAAGAAATGTAATAATAATAAGTGAAGTTTATTCAAATCAACTTATGGTCCACTGTGTAACATTTAAGAGGATCTACTGGCAGAAATTGAATATAATATTAATAGATATGTTTTAATTAGTGTATAATCCTCTGAATAAAGGAATCAATGTGTTTTTGTTACCTTAGAATCAGATTTGTTTTAGCTACAGAGGGAGTGGGTCCTCTTCTACAGAGTCCACATGTTGAACTGCCTACGGTAGCCCAGAATGAACAAACCAAACATTGGCTGTAGAAAGCAACAACACCACTAGATGCCACTAAATCCTACACACTGATTCTTTAAGCTGGTTGACAATTATCTTTTCAGTGATAAGATATGTTTTCCTCATATTGCATTCTTTACAACATTATACCTGACAGCCTGAACCACAAGCAGTGACTGCAAGCATGGGTGACTCCACATGTTATCATTATATTTAAAGACACAAGGGAGCATGTTGGGTCAATATAGGTGAACAGGCAAAGTTCACAGGACTGTAGTTGTTTAAAATAATGCAAGAGGTTAAGTAGTTCTCTCCTGGATGTGGTTTAGGATGTTAAAAAGCAACTATTACAGTTTCAGTGCAAAACAATAGACTTTTATCTTTTATCATGTAGGACAAATAAATGATGGCTGAATTCCATTTAGCTGCTTCAGTCTCAGGGTCCTGGTGTTGTTCACGCTGGCTCACTGTCACACTGTCATGACTTACTGGTGCACTTGAATAGAATACATTACATATGAGTCTGCTGTGACAAGGTACAATGTCTGCTGTGAAACAGGTGCAGCAGTGCAGGTTTGGGTGCACAATAACAAGTGTTGAGGGAGTTGACATTGATGCCATTGATAATCACAGATCTCGCTTTGAATTCAATAAAGTGGATAAAGTCTAATACATTTTTTTTTTTAGGGGAAGGAAAAGTTTTATCATTAGTCAGTTAGAAAAGTATTTGATGATTTTTGAAGTATCTTCAATACAGTTTTATCCATTATTTGTGTTTTTGGACAGAATAATTGAGCTGAGTTTAATAATGTTTTTATTATTATTATTATTATTATTATTATTATTATTATACTTTTGTTCTCCATATAGTCTTTACTGAGACCTACAGCACATTACGAGCTTCAACGGCCAGGTTGTGATCCGCTGCACCTGCTGGGGAAAGACACCGACCGACAGAGGGGGTTTACACACACACAGGCACACACACACACACACACACACACACACACACACACACTGACGGGAGTTTCAGCTTGCAGCGGTGACGCACTGTGAGCTCACTGAGCCAGTGTTTATGTCTTTTTTTTCCACACACACACACAGAGAGAGAGGAGCCAGAGAGGGGGAACCTCGTTTACCGGCTTTGTGGTTATCATCCCTTCTCAAGTTTTAATTACACCTACTAACTGAGTCCACTACAACTGATGATGCTCATCTCTGGACACTGATTTCAACTCCATTTATTCACCAAACCGGTAAGACTAACAACTTTTTTTTTTTTTTGTAACAGTGTAGTGACAGTCTGAATGGCTGTTGAAGCCGGTAATTTAGTCTCGTCAGTCATTGCCGGCTCGTGTGGGGCTTTTCTCGCCGCAAAGCCTGTCCGACCGTCATGACCACCTTTACGCACGGCGGTGATGTGTTTTAATGACTTTGTCTGCCCTGTGGGGCTTCATATGGCACATATATATGCACTTAAATAATCTTGGAAGAAAAAACTGATGTTTGTTTCAATGGAGTTTATGGCTATGATTTAAGTAAATATTTAAAATTGAACAAATGGAGGACATTGTCTGCGCCTGAGCAAGCTGTTGTGACTGTTTATCGTATGTCTCTGCTGTAGCTTTCCAAGGATAGACGTAGAGTTTTGCTGTGATGTTCGTAAAGTGATTTAAAGTTTGTATGGATACTTTACAAACCCCTGTTTTCTAGTAACTGAGTGGATTGTTCTGGATATTCTACTATAGGCAACTAAATACCTTTAATTCGGCTAATTTAATAAGCTTATAATGACAATGGGATCCAAAGTGTGCCGTGCTGTCTAATGACAGAGTGAGGGAATGCTTGACGCACTGTCATGGGTACGTGATGACATCACTGGTAGTATGATCCGGCTCCTCTCTTTTTAATGAAGTGAAGTTCTGGCTCTGCTTTATTTCCATATATCTGTGTAATATTTTATGATATGGGTGAGACACATTGAGGTCAGTTCAACCCAATTAAATTCTGTATAACAAGAATCATACTGAAAAAAAGCATGTTGTGTAGAGTTTAACAGAGAGAAAAACCTGTAAAAATGTCAAAGTATTTGAATTAATATTTACATGTGGCTCTCTCACATTTTTCTAAGTTCCACTCATTGTTTGCTCATCTGAAGTTATGTCTTATCACCCTCACATATCACACCCCTGCTGTGGTTTCAGCAGGACACACAGCTGCGTAGGAGCCCACCACACTGTGCAACGAGGGCAGGCTCACTACACACATACACTTGCACAAGAGCCAAGATGAGACTGTCATTTTTGGCAGAGGGCTTCTATTGTCTGAGGCCAAATTCCTGCTCGCTTGTATCAATAAGAGGCTTTCTCTCATACACAACTATACGCACACATGCACGCACACTTCCACCAGAAGGGGGCCACGTGCAGCTTCACTGGCTCGACCCTAATATTCAGGCATTTTAAGTAAGTATTTCACAGTTTATTCATCGGTA